GCTGCCTTGCTTGACAACAGCAGTTCTCTGGGGCTGAAGGAAGGGGAATTTTAAAGGCAAGTTACTCATTGTTGAGCACACCTTCCCTGTAGCAAAGGAAAGTTGGCCAAGGAGCTGGGCTTTTCCCACCTCTTAGCATCTTGAGTTCCAGTTCTACAAATTCAAAGTTCCCTGGAAAGCATCTTGGGATTTAGTTTAACAACAATTGTTCAAATCTCTCCGTTCACCAAAAGGAAACCCCTCCACAGCTAAGGCTCAGCAACACTTCACCCATCCTTTAGTCACATAAATAACATCCTGCAGAAGACATACAGGGGCTGACGAACCCTGAGCCATGGGAAGAACAGGGGCACTTCCTGCCTCCAAGACACATCTAACACCCCAGCACCAGGCAGGCAGAGTAATGCAGGGAAAAGTCTTTTGGAAAAGGCCATTAACCGTGCACAATTGCCCTTTACAGTTTTTGTAAATCATAAACCAACAAACAGTAAAGAAACCAGGCTGCAGCACAAGTCCAAACCTGATGCTTCCCAAGACCTGAAAAGCATTACTGCTCCCTCTGAAGAAAAAACCCAACAAAATAAAACAAAACAAAGACCAACCAAAAAAACCCCAAACACAGAAGGAAATGAGCAGCAGTTGGACAAGAGAAGACTGTTATTGCTTTGATTAAGGCAAGCAGCAGAGAGGAGAGTATCAAAAGGGTTTTTTAATTTTTTTTTTTGCACAGAGCAGCACCAAGACACTGTTGTGATGCAAGCTGACATTTAAAAGCAGGGAGAGAAGAGCAAGACTCTACTTCATTAAAATTATCTGCGTAAGGACTAAGGAAGAAGGAAGGAACCCCAAAAAGGAAACCATGTGACTGTACAAATTTCTTCATTGACTGGGACCTCTTGGGTTGTTACACTATAAACAAATTCTTCCAAACGTGTTTTTTCCAGGTACCTATCACAGATCAACACCGAGATAACAATGTCTTTCTTCAGAAGGCCTTCATTACCTGCCCATCTTTCCGAGCAAACGGCAAAGATTTTGAGCATGAGACACATGACCATGCCCTGGCATAAACCAGCCTATACATGCAACAATTAAACATGTAAGAAAATATGGGGTGTGTTTGCAAGCAGGATTTGTGGGAATATGAAGTTCCTAAACCAAGGGGATACAAGTCTGATTTTCATGGGTATTTAGTGCTTAAAAGCTTAAGGGGAAGGTATATGCAACAGCCTGTTCATACTTGTGTGTGACCTTTTGAAGAGCTGGCTCAAAATTCATTACATAGCCAAACCTTTTCCTTAAACAACTGACAACACCCATCCATAGCTATTCTCACCTCTGCTGTTGACCTGATATGTAATGAAGCCAGTGTAACTCAAACAGAGGATCGTGTGTCAGAGATGTCAAATAAGACTGAAAACATGCACATACAAACCCATGGACAGGCTTCTGTTTACCTTTGAGCTGATGCAGAATATGCATTAAAAATAAAGTCACAAGGAAGACAACAAACCAGTCAACTAATGAGGCTGAACTGTCTCCTGTGCAACTATAATTAATTATGAGACAGAAAACTTATTGTTGAAGCAGGACTCCTCAGACAGGTTTCTCATTTTATTGTTGTTGTAACCCAGTTGCAGCTCCCTGATGCACAGCCTGCCTGCTCAGTCCAGATTCAGCTGCTCGACAGCCACCTGCTGGCTACCAACACCCAAACAAGCACCTCTCAATCAAAAGCAATCTCCTTTTCACCAAGGGAAATGAGTGTTTGAATTTATGGTCTCCTTGCAGAACTTGGCCTCTGAAATCAAGTTCTATTTTAAGCACCACGAGGTAGTCCAAAAAATCAAGTCAGAACCTTTCAATTCAAGAAAGGACACACAACTCAGAGCAAGACTGGCATTTAGGCATAGCATAAGAAGGCTATACGAACCTAACCAGGGTATTGGATCTTACCAGGAAGCTCTAAAGAACTTTGACCATGGGTAGGAAAATAACATTCGCATCCTGTATGGCAGCTTTTGAAATATACCAGTCACCCAGCCACTTGCTGCGACAGGTAAGGTAATCTATCAGACAGCTGGCGAGGGCCAAAGATGTGAAAAAAATACAAGTCTGTGGTCTGGTTTCTAATGTGCAGGTGTTCCCATAAAGTAAACAAACCCAAATCCTCCATCATCACAACCAGACAGTGATCTTAATGACAAAGGCACAAAAGAGGTGAATTCTAGGGGAGTATCATGATATCCCAGAGAAAATTTAGAGAACTTTGTCTATTGCCTTTGCAGACAAAAAAAAAAAAAAACAGCCCATCTGCCAAGGGGAAAAAAAAAATAAATAAAAAAAAATCACAAGGCAAAGACACACAGCCTGTGCTAGAGGTCCATCGTGTTGCACAGTTGGGATGCTTGGCAAAGCCCAACTGCTACATGGTAGCAGGGATACCCTACACCAACTGGTCTTTCATATTGCTGGAGTGGCAGTACCTGTAAGGCCCATAGATGTAGGCCCACAGGCATTAAGGAAACAATCACGCAGAGCAACTCTGCCATTCAGAAAATTTTGAAAATTCAGTGCCATCCTGGGATTACAGATGGTTGAGCTGATCCCTATATAACACAGCAAAGAGAGCTTATCTTCAAAGGAAGAGTCTCCCCCATGAGTCCTGTCGACCCAACGGATCCAACCCCAAATCTTCATTCCACACTTAATGCTTCCAGAGGCCACCCAGTGATCAGAAATCACAAGCACTTTGGACAGGCTTGTACAGGTCCCCTCAGCAGAAGACGTGAAATGACACCATTGGCAGCCCATTACGAGGAGAATAAAGAGAAGCCAGAAACCCTCACAGGGAAAAAACCCAGAAAATCAACTCTCATCCATCTTTAGTGCCGTGTTAGAGCAATTCCAACTGCTGCTCTGGCACCCAGTACTTTACCTGGTGAGCACATCGCCTCGGTGGTGGGTTGGGGATCTCTACTTTAGACCAGCTGTTCTTCCGGATGTTGTAAACATAGAGGTCGTTATATAGGTACGTCTGTTACAGAGGAAGAGAAAATACACATCACCTCAGCTCTCCATTGGACAGAGTCAGTCTGTCTAAGCACAGGCACCCCTGAGGGTTACCTGTGAGTCTGGGGGAGAAGGAGCACGGCACCAGCTTTGCAAAGCAACAGCTCACCTGTCTCATCAGGCAGGTAAGGACAACAACCTCATCCACTAGACTGGGAGTCAGCAACTTTTTCAGAGTGATGCACTGGACTGGACTGTTCTTTCCCAAACCCTTAGTTAAGCTTGTGATAGCTTGAGATATGAGGACTCAAGAAGTTGGAGCTTAACACAGATGTGCAGGTTAAAGTTGCCCAAACTGCTGCTCAACTCCAGAGTCAGGATCAGCTTAAGGCAGTGAAGCAAGCAGAATTAGTTTAGCACATCACATTGGGTGATCCTAAGATCGCCAAATATCATTGGCAGGCTTAAGTTTTCAAGCTACAGGATGTACAACTTCTTGGTGTCATAAAGACCAGTTTGCCTCCAGGAGCACAATAAAGACTTGCAACTTGCAGAAACACAGTAACAAGAGTGCCCATTTGCAAATATTTGCTACTGTACACATCTCCAAGGCAGGCAATGCCTTGCCAGCAGCAAAACTGCAGAAGTATCTTGTTTTGAAAGATGGAACATAGAGATTCTTCAATAGTTATCAAAAACGAGGGGCTGATATGGCTACAGTTAAGTCTAGAGAAATTATGAAGCCCTGAAATATTGATGCCGAGGCAATCACTCTGACTCCTTAATGGGTTCTAGCATGTCTCCTTCCTGCCAACTGTTCAGGCATGAGACAGTATCACGGCAGAATTAAAAGGCTATTTTGCTCTCATTCAGGGACAAATACATATTTTATGACTGCTGCCTTGAATTTCACTTCAAATGAGACTCATGCAAATTACAGTAAAAGGCAAGGAGAGGGTAGAATAAAGAAGAAATGGAAATATACATTACTTTTTGGCCATTGAAATATTCACCTCCAAAAAGGATCAATTCATCTTTCTCAGGGTGAGCAGAGAGGGAGCCGTTCAGCCTGCAAAAGAAAGAGGGATGGCCAAAACAGTAGATGTGTCTTGTAAAACTCAGAAGCTTGCAGCCTTTAACTCAGCTACTACTAGCACCTCTGCCCTCTAGCCACAAAGGTCTCTCCATCATCTGCCAAATTACTAGGCTGTGATATTCACCGCAGGGCTAAAAACTTCTCAAAGAAATTAACTTCTTAAAAACTTCCAGCAAGATTAATTTGACACTGTCTGAAATCTTCTATTTTAGGAGCACACGTTACACTGTCATTTAACATGCCTTTTGACGTGAGCTCTTGAATTTTAATGCTGGTGTGTCAAGAACAAAAATTAGTTTTATGAAGGCACATAACTATGGGGAGAACTGGGCTGTCTCGTATCAACTTATCTGCGTCACTATTCTGCAGTCACCACTGGTCATTGCTCATCTACATACCACTGAAGTGTTTTGCACCATGCAGAGATAGATCCTTACCACTCCCAAGGAGGAACTAACTGACTGCTGTAACATCCCTGTGAGATTAACAGTAGTGTACTGACCTGTCCCACTACAGAGAGGGAAATAGACATCACAGAGAAAGGCATTTATTTAACAAGCCACAAGAAATCGAAATACAGAACCTAGAAGTACGTCAACCCCAAGCTACACTTGATAAAGTGTCTTGTATCTCATGACACATCCTTTTGCCTCTTAAGTCCCTTCAGTTATCCAGTCCAAATCCAAAACTTCCTCTCAACTTTTCTTTTTCCTCAAAGCCCTGTAATCTAACCCTGCTTTGCCTCCCTTGTGCTGATGAGATGATTAAAAAGTGGATTTTAAGGCCAAAAAAAAAGTTTTTCGTCTCTTTTTTTAACCAGGGATTCAATATACCAGATATTTTATAATTCCAGATATCAGCTATGCCAGATACTATGCCTTCCACTCTTGGAAAACAACTTTACATAAATAAATTTCATTAAAAGCACCATCAATCGCTGTATAAGTGATAGCCAAAGCCTTCTACAATCTCTTACCTGGGTGAGGGGGGTGGGCAGGGTGATTCAATTACTTGGGTCTTTTTAGCATCTAAACTCTGGAATTCTGCTATCAGGGCTTCGAGATCCTCCTGAAAATAAAAAGCCAGACATTAGTTCCCTGATATACACAGAGCCACCTGCACACCATCTGAAACCAGCACTCACTCTCATGATTCCCCTTTTTAAAAAAAAATTGTCTGCTTAGGTTCCCTTCATTCAACTACAAGAAACGGATGCTGAATACTTCCATATATGCTTCAAAGATGGGTAACCCCTAAAACAGCAACAAGTTGCTCAAAAGAGTCCTAAAAGGATGAGACACAAAGCGCGTTCAGTGCACACCTGCAATTCCTGCAGCAGAAACACCGCACGTTTCAGCAAATAAACGTAAATCATTTGAGCCCTAACAAAATAACAAGCAACCACATGCTACAATCCAGTTAGTCCTCTTGTTTGTCTGCAGTGGAAAGATGCCTAAATGGAACCAGAAACTCTTTTCTATTCTCAGGTCATGCTTTACCTGCACGTATTTTTATTCCCTTTTAACTTCTGTCATATAAAAATAAAATCTGCCTTGAAAACTGCAGATACGCCGAGTTGCAAGGGCAGAAGCAGGATTGCAGCTAGGGGGAGTTTCTGATCCACGGTCTCTCCTACAACCCCCATTGCTCACCACGTCCCTTCAGTTAACCTTTTTGAAGGTGTGATCAAAGCAGAGATTTCCAAAGTCTGGGGATTTTGCCTCTGCAGCAGGGCATCAGCTCTCCCTGCAGCCAGTATACATGTACTTTGGCACCTTCCATGTCTTAAGTTTTACATTATGCCAGTAACACCACATTTCGACCAGGGAAAGGTAGCTGTTTTGGGGCCTAAATACAAGCACCCACTCTAGAAGCGAGATAAACATTTTCATTTGCTTTTAAGACCAGAAGAAAAGGATGAGGGAAATGGAAAGCAAGAAGGACCCTTAAACTGCATTTTCTTGTCCTTCTTTTACACCTGCTGTCACACACTGCTCCAGCTTGTCACAGATACACAAAAGTCTTCCTGGTAGCAGTTTTCACTTCACCCCTTATCCTCTTTTCCAAGTGTCCTTGCACACAGCTGCTGATGGCTCCGCAGCCCTTAGCCACACGCTGACCTGCAGGCATAAGCACAAGCACCGCTTTTTCACCAGGACTGCCCTAACAGTACCTCTAAAAGTTTCACGAGATGTGTACTAACCTCAAAACCCCTTCGCCAGCACATCTTGTACCCGGCTGATGAGCTGCGGGCCCTCAATTAACCAAGTTAGAGCCCCTTGCGTTTGGATACACTTGTTTCCAACCCTGTCTCCGACCCCCCGTGGCTCCACTTCCACCGCCGGTTTTCCCTTCAGGCCTCGTTTCACAAAAAGCCCCGAGACCCACAGAGGGCCCAAGGGAGCACGGCAACCCCACAGAGGAGGCCCAGGCCCCGCTCCCGGGGCTACCGGAGCCCCCCGCTCCCGCCCCTCACCTCCTCCTTCTTGGCTCTGCGAGACACCTTCCTCTCCATCTTTGCGGCCGTCT